CCCAGCTGATGGTCAGCGTGCTGCTAGTCTGCCATCCTTGGTTGACACTGCAGCAGCAGTGCAAGCGACCGGCGTGTACGGATTCAAGATGTGCACTTTTCTCCCAGCCTCCAGTGGTGAGGGAGGCGACAGGCCTGTGGCTGCCAAGCAAGAAGATCGTGCCTTGACTGTAAGGGGTCCGCAATTGCCAGCATGCTCGTTTGTCCTGCACCTGATCTGCTTTGGAGATGCTGCGGCTCCTGTCACTCCATTCACGCATTGGCTTATCCTGGAGACCAAGTACTGGACGAGTGTAATTTATCTGTGCCTGCCCCACTGGACCTTGCCAGGCACACAAGAATTGTTCATGTGCCCAATTTGTCCCAGGTAAGTGGCTTTGCACCTACACGGGCAAAGGAGACATTGTTCTGTCTGTTCTTGTGTCAACACGCACAGATTCAATGGGGAAGAGCTGTCTTTTATATCCAAACACGTATTCTTGCACATAGATGCAGAATGGCTGGGAAGGGGGTTTATAAACATGCACTCTTTGGGTTTTTTTTTTAAAGGGTTCTTAGATCTTTCACATCTGTTCTCTCTCTTTCTCTTCCTCGGGACATCAGATTCCCACCATTCAGCACCAGTTCAGGTGTTCCCTCCCTCCCGCAAGGGAGAGGAGACAGAGACCCATTTCGCACAATAAAGACAATACTGGGAGCCACAAAATCTGGGCAGGTGTGGCTGGAGAGTCATGTGACTGGGTAGGAGTGGCACTGAGTTGGCCATGTCCACCCAGGTTTTGTGGCTCCCGGTGTTTTCTGTGGGAAATGGGTCCAAATGGCTTTTTGATTGTTTAAGGTTGCAGACCCCTGGCCTAGGTCTTCGCTGGGTTTCAGTAAGGGAGCAAGTCTAGCCTGCCTCCATAATTTTGCTATCTTAAAACCCAATTATACAATTCTACTACAGGAGCCACTGCAGAGTACAGAGACGAAACTCCTTTATCATTTTTGTCTTTATGCTGCTTTACTCATTTTAAAGAATATTTAGGGTTAGGCTTTTTCTCTTTTGGGCTGGTTGATTAATATATAAATAATATAGAGTATTCTTTTCTTTTAGTTTTCTAAGTACATACAGACTCTGGTATGATATACATGGCCATCTAAATAAATATTTCATCACTAATCCAGAATATATATTTTCTCAATGCTTTTTAATATCAGTATTAATCTTTATTTCCACATCACAGCAGCTGAGTGGGGAAAGAAAATTTCCAAAACAAAACATCAGATATTTACACCTAAAATTCACATCACTTATTTGTTGATTCCGGAAACATGCTATCACAATATATACAACCAAATATCTTTAGGATTCTGGTACATTTTTTTCCTTTAGTTTGTTTTCCTTACAATTAATACAGGTTTTCGGAACAAGAATACATAAAAAGAGAAGTGGTTTAATTGTGTGTGTATGTGTGTGTTTAAATAAGATTGGCATAGGTTAAAAAACACATTTACAGGGCAGAATACCAGACGTCACAATCTATACATTTTTTGCTCAATTTCCTGTACAACTACACAGCATTCATTTGAGATATCTACATAAAACATAATACAGAGAAAATTAAGCAAATTATACTCCCTTTCTAAAGTTCCTGCAGTCTCATTATTCCTCATATAGAAAATTATTTAGTCTCCATTGACAATAAAATGAGGACAAGGGTGGGATGGGGAGTCAAAGTTATTATGGGGATATTTCCTGGGGAAGGATTTTTTTTCTCTATAATAACAAAATTTAACTATATTCTCTATAACTAATACATGATGGAAAGAATTCATTCCATTTTCCAACCACTAATGTCTTTGAACTTTTTCTTCCAGGCAACATATTTTGGAGCACTTTATACCTTTTTCAAGGCAGCATGATTGTGCTATTTTTGTGTCCAAAAATATAAAAAAGATTATTTTCCATTAACTACCTGCACCCGCCCCCCAAAAAGATGCTTTTTACAGAAAGCCACTTTTACACATAGATTCCATGCAATAGTGCTTATTTGGCAATCTGAAAAATTAATAAGCAACTTTAGCAATACAGCATAGGGTATCTAATAAAGAGCTTGACTTCTACCCATATACAGGTAGTCCTCGACTTACAACAGTTCATTTAATGACTGTTAAAAGTTATGTCACTAAAAAAAGGAACTTATGACTGCTTTTCATGACAAACATAGCATCCCAAGTCACATGATCAAAATTCAGATGCTTGGCAACTGGTTCATATTTATGTATGATTGCAATGTCCTGGGGTCATGTGATAACCTTTTGCAACCTTCTGACAAGCAAAGTCAATGGGGAATCCAGATTCACTTAACCATATTACTTTAGTAACTGCGGTGATTCACAACGGACAAGAAGTCGTACAATGGGGCAAAACTCATTTAACAAATGCTTCCCTTAACGTTGAGCTCAATTTTGGTCATAAGTTGAGGACTACCTGTATTTTGTGATCTTCCAGTTCCAAATTATACAATACTTAGTTTCACATTTATCTTTTAAAATATACTGGAAATCTGATTTTATACTTTGCACATATATATATATACACAATGCTTCCCTTAAAAAGCTATCACAAACCTGCATGGACACGGACCAATATCATAAAAGAAACTGAAAAATAATGGATCCTGAAAATTCATATTAATATATCAAAATGGGCCTTTCTCCACAGAACTTGGTGATTATGGTAATACGCATGTGCTTGGTCTTTGAAACCCTATTTAACATCTACATGAAGCCTCTGGGTGAGGTCATCTGTTGGCACTGAATCAAGTATTATCAGTATCCTGATGATACTCAGTTATACCTCTGCCCCGGGCCATCCAATTGATACTGTTGAGGTAATCTGTCAGTACCTGGATGCTGAGAGAGTCTGGTAGAGAAGAACAGGTTTTTTTTCTCAACTGATGAAATTTGACTACCTGTGGCTTTTAAAGCCCTCTGAATCTAGTGAACCTCTCTTCTTAATGCTGGATGGGATTCTCACGGTGTACAGTCTGCGGTAGTCCTCAACTTCTGATTGAGGAACAGACAGCAGCTGCAGGAAAAAGGCCCTGGAGTAGAGACATGTATCAGTTGTGCTAGTTCCTAGACTGGGAGATAATACCCTAATACCCTCCTGATTTTCCTTTCTTCTGGTCAATCATATCCAGATCTCGGAGATTTCCTGGACAAGTCCCTGAAGTTCTCTTGCCAAGTTTTTTCAATAATAGTTTACAATTGCCTCTTTCCTAGGCTGAGAGAAAATGACTGGGCCAAGGTCACCCAGTTGGCTTTGGGCCCATGGAAGAACTAGAACTCATCTCCTGGTTTTTAGCCTGATTCTTTATTCAGTACACCAAATTGGTGCTCAAATTCCCATTTAGACTTACGGCAACATGTTCTATATGAGGCTGCCCTTGAAGAGCATTTGCAAGCTTCAACTAGCTCACAATGCAGTGGCACATACAGTTGTTGATGCAATACAGTATGCTGCTATGTAAACTTCACTGGTTCCCAGCAGGCTTCCAATTGCAATTCAAGGTACTGGTTGTTAACCTTATCTACTAGGCATGTAGCCAGGTTACTTGCAATACCATTTGTTTCTTCCTGTTCCACTAGATACATAAAGTTGGACATGTTCCAAATCTTTTCAGTGGGAAACAAGTCACCTGGTAGATCCTAGGAAGGGTGCCTTCTCTGTTATGGCACCTCTCTGATGGAATAACCTCCCTCTGGACATTGAAATAGTTCAACGTTTTTGCTTCTAGACGTCTGTGAAAACCTGGCTTTTCCTTTAGGCACTCAGGTCACAGTATCAATGGAGCTTGACTTGTGTCTGGGGGAGGAGCTGTAAAGTGTTAAGTGGCCTCGACTGGTTTGTGAGTTATATTTTGCCTTTTGTTGTCACCCAGAGTTTCCATTAGTAGACAGCCAGCTATATAAATTTATTAAATATTATATGGCCCATTAAAAAAATCCAAGATATATATTTAACATCCAGAATACAATCCTCTAACCATCACTTACTATAGAATAAGACTCAGTGAATTTAAACAAATATTTTATTGAAACATGCTTGGGAATGTGCTGCCACTCTCTTCAAACTTCAAAAAGATTATATGCTTCAAGAATCCTGCTGGGGTTTTGGATGAGTGAATTTTAGGATGCCTGGATGTTTGATGTTCTAAAATTTGAAACTTATATTTTCTACTGTGCTTTTGTAGATGGGGGCACCAATGGGGAAATGCTGCTAATGGGACCAAGTTAAGAACTGATTGTAAACAAAATATTTTTTTCATGTCACTTCGCTTAAGAGCTTAACATGTTTTGCACAGAAGAAACCTTGAGGGAAGTAACTGAACAACTACAGGTAGTCTTCAACTTTTGACCACAATTGGGAGAGGAGCTTCCATTACTAGATGATGCAATCATTAAGTGAGTCATTCCTAATTTCACTACCTTTTTTGTCATGATCTGTTGCTAAACAGTGCAATCATTAAGTGAGTCACAATTGATTTTACTACCTTTGTTTGCTCTGTTTATTACGTGAAACCCCAGCTTCTCCCATTGATTTTGCTTGTAGAAAACCCCCGGGAAGATCACAAATCATGAACACGTGACCCTGAGATGCTGCAACCATTATAAATACAGGCTAGGTGCCAAGCGCCCAATTTTGATCACATGATCGTGGGGACTGCTGTAAGTGCTAAGACCAATTAATAATCAGTTTTCTCAGCGATGTCATAACTTCAAGTGGTTGTTAAAACAAATGGTTGCAAGTTGAAGACTACCTGTACTTTCATGAAAAGCAATTTCAGCTGTAGGAAGCTGTGGATACTGTAACCTCGGTCTTTAGATTTGCTTCCTTTTTTCCCTACAAATAATGATTCACTGATTATAGAAATGAAGATTTTAAATTTGATTTTTTCCTAAATTCTGTTTACATATCACAAGCAGACCTTTACTCATACGTTGGCTATTTTGCACTTTTATACTCCTCAAGTCTGCTTCAAAGAAGAGTACATTTTGCGAGTATAAAGGGCACAAGAAGGAGAATCCATTCTACCAATGTTGCATGTTCTATTAATGGATAGACATCTTAATTGACTTTTGTGGGAGAAACACAGTAAATCCATTATAGTGAATAGGATCCTAAAGTATTAAGTGATTCATAATTTAGTTCATACTTTTGTGGTATATCCATCAATTTATACATTTTTCACAATGTGCTTGTGAAAAATGTACAAATAAATTAAATGTTTATCTTTCCAAAGACTGGGCAAAAAACAAAAAAGAATCTGGATCTTAAAGCTTTTCCCTTTATATTTTCCATTTTAAGAACCTGGAATGAATTGTAAGAAAATGAAGCATTGATTAAAATTCTTCAGTTATCAATATAAAACTATTTTGCATTATAAGTTTGCCATATTGCTTAATGTGTGTATTCCTTTCATATATTTTCATACACTTTTCCAAGTTTAGTTACGCTATCAACTACTGCATAATATATGGCACGATGTTTCATGATTCCTTTGGTGAAAATGTATAATGGCAACATGTTAAATTAATTGGCAGAACTAGTTCTTGAATACAAATTAAGTAGCTCCTTTCTCTGTATGTCAATGTCTTTCAATTAGTCACAATTTTAATACCTCTACCTTTACCCACTGGAACAGGGTTTTTATTTTTTTGGTGATCTGAAAGTCTTTCGAAAACATGATATAAGACGTTGGAGGCAAACCTCAAGTATGCACTCAGATCTTCCTTTTATTTTATTCTAAACCAGATTTCCAGCTGCTGATTCATAGTTATTCCTTTGCCAATCCTGAATTGGCTTTTGGCAACACCATTTTTTAAGAAAAAAAGAATGCTGGGGCCAAAAGCTTCTTTAGGCACAGCTGGCCAAAAATGGGCTACAGGTTGTTTGAATACACCATGATGAGAAAAAAAAAATGAATTAAAAAGTCTAGCAAACTAGGAAATATGTAAAATAAGCAATAGCAAGCGAACGTAAGTCAGATTGCTTCAGCATTCCTGAGGCAGTGCAAGGAGATCACCACAAAAGAGTTCATATGCCTGAAGCCTGAAGGATCCAGTTATCTTCAAAAGCAGAATTCACTGTACTTAAAACTTTAAACTGCACCTTCTGGCTTGACATTTCATGGAATCTCCAAATCCATTTAACACAACAAATGAACACATTCCTAGAGGAACTGCTTCGATTTGTGCACATCTTCAAACCAAGAGGAAAGCTTGTAAAAATCCCATGCCGCTTCCCCTTGTGTCATTCAATTCTTCCTGTTATCTGAAATTGTAGAAGGAATGTCGCATCCAGTGTGGGAAAAAGAACAAATCCCAAACACTAAAAACCTGGAAAGTATAAAATTAAATAAAAAGAAAAGCAGCAGTTTTTTACATGCTGGCTCAGTCTCTGATTCCAGTCAATCTCACAGAGCAAAAGAAAAATAATCAACTTCTCTGCTTTTTCACACACTGTTCTGGTTCTAAAACCTGGAATGATCATACAAACTATACTCTGAAAATCTTGCCTACTGCTCACTGATGCCATGCTCCCATGCCACCCTTGACTGCTCCTCTTTTGCACCAATAGCTGGTTGGGCAATTTTGCGATGCATTGCTCGATATTTTTCATCCTCTTCCAGAATCATTCCTTCTTCATTTGAGTGACGGGAATGATAAGGTTTAGGGGGTAGAGCTGGAGGGTCCATAGTGTCCTGAGGAATGACTCCAGATGGAGCGGAGTGGCTTCGGCATGGCTGGGTTTTGAGAGTTTCTAAAACATCAGGTTCTGAGAGACTGTACCTGACAGGGAGATAGGGCGTCTCTAAGTCCTCATCAGTGTTCCACGCCTGGCTCGGGACAGAATCCATGGTGTCTGTTCGAGGAGGGGGCTCAGATGAATGGCCAAAATTACTTTCACTTAGTGAGGAAACACCACTGCTAGCGCTACCAGAAAGAGTGGAATTGCTTCCATCCAGGCCAGACTGGGGACTGGTGGGGGATGCAGGTATCGGGTGAAGAGGAGACTATTTAAATGGAAAAGCAAAGCAAAAGAGACAGGCATGTACATATTAGAACATATAAAGAGTTTCATGTAGTTCCATGGTAAATACTTTACATTTGCAATAGATTAAAAAAATATTATTCCTATTTTCAGCTCATTTTACAGTAGTGATATCCTTGATTTTTATCTCAATTAAAAAGAAGCATATATGATTCCTCTAAGCTTCTAAAATGCTACACTTGTTTGTGATGGCAACATTATCCAATCTGTATATATTTTTGGTGAACCGAAAAAAATCACAAAAAGTCAACAGTTTTATTAGGTAATATTGAATGAAAAGGACAAAATCTACAGCTGAACAACGTCCTTATAATTGGACCAAGCAAAATATTCAAAAAAGCATGCATGTTTTATCCTCTTACACAATACATTTTACTATTCTGACTAAATGGACTGAATTTAGTTTTAGGACTGAATGGCTAAAAAAGAAACACACTGTTTCAGAGCCTTTCAATATTGTTTAAAGACTGAATGTGAATCTTCGTTTGGACATCCAAATTCTTCATTGCTATAAATCTGTCTTCTATATCATCATTTGACATGAAGCAACTGACTTTTAGTTAAATATGTACAATTTCTAGGCAAGACTTTTTGTTTCTAAGGGTAATTTTTTGGTGAAATGGATGCAATTTGCATACAAAATAGAACATTCAGCTTTTATTCAAGTATGGAAAATTTCAAATGAGTAGGTTTTGTAGGTGCTTTACATCACATTAGCATTTACCTATATGAAAGATGGCAAAAATGGCACATACATTTCCCCCATTTTTTCATAGGCAATAAAAAGATGATTCTAACTATCATCTAGATAGATGCACATAAGAAGAAACCTTTAAAATGGATTAAGGGGTCATTTGTATTTGAAACATTAGGATTTTAATTGAAGAGTTTTAAAATCAATTGAATACATAAAATAAGAGATTAATGGAAATGCAGACTGTTCAGTGTTCTAGTAGAAAGATCAACTGGATTTGCAAAACAAATCTGAGACAAACCATGTGTTAATACTGTAGAATTAGGGATCAAAGAATTAAGGATGAAATCAAAGATTTACGGCAAAACAAGAGTAAACTCTTTTTTACTACTGTTTTCATACCTAATAAAATGGCTGTTATTAGAAAAAATAGACCAATGATTTTTATAGTTCTACAGAAAAAGCTACATAATGATTGAAAAAGTCATCACATTTGACACATTAAAAAAAACTTTGAGAAATTGGGAAAGAATATTACAGCTATCATAACAGCCTCACTAGCTGCTTATGTGAATCCATCATTTAAAAGAGATTTGAAACAAGAGTAGAGAGGAAAAATAATCTTTAAGAATTTATAGGTCAACTCGGTGGAGTGATAATTCGAAGCGAAATCAAGATGGAGTTTTTGGGAAATAGACAAATTCTGGAAAACAAAATAAATATAATAAACAGGCCTTTCTAAGGACCTAATTAATTTATTTTAATTAATATGCTTGAATAACTGGAAATGAAAATATGTGCTAAGAAAAGACTTGTTTGTCAGTGGTGTCTCAGATGTTCAGCCAAGTATAGAATATATTGTGTATAACCTCCCTTGATTTTGAAAGCCCAGCTCAGTTGCAGATAAAATTAATTTTCCTTCCCCAGTACCTATTGAGCTAGGAGGAAACTTTCATCCTCTCACATGGGAGCATGAACAAAAATTGAACAGAATTTATTTCAACTTGTTCAAGGTGAACAGCTTACATAAAATAGGAATGTTATTTTTTTTTCCTTTTGAACATCCTGGTGATGTATTTCACTTTTTAGCATTTTATTTTCAAATAACCCAGGAGACCTTTATATAGCTTACACAGTTTGTTTCTCTTAGTGATACTGATTTTTGCTTTTAATCTCTCCAAAACTGGGTATAACAGGTATATTTTAAAATTCTAATCTAAGCAATTTTAGGGTGATACAATATGACAGATAAGAGATGTCAATAATGTGTTCATTTTATGTGCCATTCTTCCTCCAAAAGAAATGATATATCATTAACTGGCTGGATAGAAGGTTCTGAAATATGACAAAACATTTACCTTGCGCAGTGTTCGTGCAGGCAGTGCTGGGGGAGCGTCATTAAGATGATGATGGAAGGCATCAAAGTGTAGTAAATAGTGGCCTTTAAGGGAAGTCAGATAGGGCAGAATCACTGACTTTTTCATACTTCTTAATTTGTGCATTGCTATTCAAAATAAATGTTAATCCTAACAGTTGAACACTCACTTTCAGAATCAATGTTATTAGGTAAATATAGTCTAATGTTTTTAATAAACATAAAATGGAAGTTAAAAGTAAAGGCAGCAGAATTTTACCAACAGCTGATATTGTATGAAGGTTCCCATGGCAAGAAAACAGGCTCATTAGTAATCCACATCTGAAATCTCAATTACTTTTTAGTATTTGATTGTTCTTGGAAGGATGATAAAAATTTCAAAGTAATATTTGTTTTCAAAAATAATTTGAGCTCAATATATATTTATGCATTAAAACCTACAGCAATACATCAAGTTACCTTACATCATTTAAAAACCTAAGTCCAGTCCCAAAGCACATTCACAGTTTTCTGAAGTTTTCAAGGTTTAGATTAACTGTCAGCCAAATGAACCAGGAAAATATTTTCCTCCATTAATTTTAAAATAATTTCTAGAGAAGTCATAAAAATGTCTGTGTTGGCCTTCACATGATTTATCTAGGCATCATTATAGGGTTCTTTTGTAGACCCCCTGACCATTTCTTTACCATGGGTCAGGCTTATTTTCTTCAGTCTCTGGAATATTTTGGGATTGGCTCCATGCTAATACATTACATATATTCATCCAGGAAGATGGATGGTAGATGATAAGAAACAATAGTGTTTTTTAATGAAAAAAACAGAACAACTCTGAAAACCAGTAAAATACAGGTAAGTAATTGTTTGCTTTGAAAATCAAGATAAAAAAGCCAAAAAAGGAAAAGAAACAACAATATGCACAATAAAGCCTATTACTGTGCCACAATGTTTTTGAAAATTTTCTCAATAATCATGACATCAGAGTATTTCACCAAATAAAATTTATGCTGAAATTATATTACATTCCAAATTAGATCTTTCCTAAAAACTTGCTTTAAATCCACAAGATTTTTCACTGAATATGTCTGAAGAATTGCTGCTTTGATTGCTAAACAAGCACAATCTTAAGCAAATCTGATAGAGAATATTAGCCAAAGTCTCATACATCATCACTTTGTCACTTGAAGGAATACTGTAGTTGAAAAAGAAAGGATGACAATTTGCAGTTTTAGAATCCACTCCATTTTCATAATGAGGAGGCAAAGTCAATTTTTCAAAATCAATATAGTTGTTGCTTTCTATTTTAGCAGGTTTTCTGCTCTTATCATGACCTAAGCTGCTTTTTGTAGAATTTCAAGCGATTTTGTTTTATCTAAAGGCAGAAGTGAAATGTTTTTATATATCAACAATATACCATGCATTTTATTTATATAAGACACTTTTTAATGCCCAATTTTAGTAATAAAAATACAACAAAATATATTTGATCTCAAAAGTGATTTAAGACAATTTTTAATGTGCACTTTTTGTTTAAAACTCTGTTGTGCTCTGGGGCTCGATTCCATATTTCAATAGTCCCAATCTCTGTTTCTCAAGCCTATTAACTGAAGGACATGATTAAGAGAGCAAAATTAACACAGATCTTTAATGACTTTTAATGACAAAAATTAGAGATTAGAATACAGAATATTGAGAATTTAGTTTCGATCCCTCCAGTTCACATTTATTAATGACTTTGGTAAGACAGATTGTCTTTAGAAGAAACCCTCCTATACTACCACCTCTTACAATACTAGACAACACAGTATTAACAGTAGAGACCTTCAAATTTCTAGGTTCTACTATATCACATGACCTAAAATGGATACCTAACATCAAAAACATAATCAAAAAAGCACAACGAAGAATGTTCTTTCTGTGCCAACTTAGAAAGCTCAAACTGCCCAAGGAGCTGCTGATATAGTTCTACAGAGGAATTATTGAGTCTATCATTTGCACCTCTATAACTGTCTGGTTTGGTCCTGCAACCCAACAGGACAGACAAAGACTTCAGAGGATAATTAGGACTGCAGAAAAAATAATTACTACCCACCTGCCTTCAATCAAGGACCTGTATACTGCAGGAGCCAAAAAGAGGGCTGTGAAAATATTTACAGATCCCTCACATCCCGGACATAAACTGTTTCAACTCCTTCCCTCAAACAACGCTATAGAGCACTGCACACCAGAACAACTAGACACAAGGACATTTTTTTCCGGAAAGCCATCACTCTGCTAAACAAATAATTCCCTCAACACTGTTCAACTATTTACAAAGTCTGCACTACTATTACTGTTAATCTTCTCACAACTCCTTATCACCCATCCCCTCCCACTTGACTATTTCCTAGTATGATTTGATTGTTGATTGTACCCTAAGACTATCATTAAGTGTTGTATGTTATGATTCTTGATTCTTAACGAATGTACCTTTTCTTTATGTATACTGAGAGTATTTACACCAAGACAAATTCCTTGTGTGTCCAATCACACTTGGCCAATGAAGTATTCTATTCTATTCTATTCTATTCTATTCTATTCTATTCTATTCAAAAAATTTTTTTCCAGAAAATGTTTTTATGGAGGATTAAGTCTACTTATTTGAGAAGCCCTTGATGAAATCCCACATTTGCTATTTTTTGTATTCAGAGATATTCTGCTTTCTTTGTCAGCCTCAACACAATCTCCTATACCATCAGATGCCATTTCTGTTTCATAGTTCACTTGAAAATATCTTGTTTGCTATTGGACAACTGATTTTAATTGCTTATTTACAGTGAAGGATTAAATAGCATCATTTCATAAAAAGCTAGTAATATGATTGCTGCCTAATTATAATTTATATAATTTAAATTAAGTTATAATTTATTATATAATCTTTATGAACATAATTTTGGAGATTTATATCTATGAGCCTTTTGGCTACTAAGGCAAATGACAAGAAATAGGTAAGGAGAAATTCCTTATTCACTGTCTCTGTGTCTGTCTCTCATCTCAACTATGCTTAACAAAGCAAGATCAGGAATCTTCTTGTTTTCGCTTTCTCTCTTCCAAATGTACTTCAAATAGGAATGAGGCTTTCCTACCAATGTATTTCTTAATAAATCTATTTTTACTACAAATATAATGAGAGTTAATAGTCATTCATACCTGGATTAAGCTACTGTTCTATGTCCAAGGTAAGTTTATTATGACTGTATCTAATTTTGAACTGAACCTATTTGTAATAGCTCAGTATTCTTTCAACACTCTGAATATGTTATAATTGTAGTAGCTCAGTGGTTAGAATGCAATGTTGCAGGCAGACTCTGCCCGCATCCAGGAATGCAATCCTGATGGGAATCAAGGCTGACTCAACTATCCATCCTTCAGAGGTCAGTAAAATGATGACCCAGATTGTTGGGCGCAATATGATGGTGTTGCAAACCACTCAGCGAGTGCCATAAAGCACTGTGGAGCTGTATATAAGTCTAAGTGTTATTGCTATTGTTATTCTAACCTTACGCCTGAACCACTATACCAAGCTGGCTCTCAGACTTTCGTTACCACCATCGGTAGTGCTTGACTCATGACTATTTGTTTAACAATGGTTCAAAGTTACAACAGAACTGAAAAAGTGACATACAACCTATCTTCAAAGTTATGACTGTCGTACCACCTCTGCAGTCCATGTGATTGCGAATCAGATGCTTGGCAACCGGCTCACATTTACAAAGGTTGCTGTGTCCTGAGATCACTTGATTGCATTTTGAAATCTTCCCAGCAGGCTTCCAACAAGCAAAATTAATGGAGAAATCAGCCAGGAAGAGCACAAATCACAATCACATGATATCTTACTTAATGATTGCAATGATTCGCTTAACAACCATAACATAAAGGTCTTAAATCAGTGTGGTCACATGATGCCTCATTTAATAACTGCTTCACTTAACAACAGATTTTTCCCTCCCAGTGACTCTCTTAAAAGCCTAATGCTTGCTTCCTAAATATTTTATATATTAATCCTCTGGAGAATTTGGGAATACAGAGAGATGGTAGAAAATCAATGTATGAATTGTGAATATTCTACTGTGTTAGTATATTATTTAAATACCAGACAACCCGGGATGTCATTTTGATGATAGGTGACTTCTGCCAGAATAAAACTCAGTAAAATGATGTCTACCTTGAAAGCCCATATTAAAGGGCACCTGTAGCAAATCAAAATTCTAGCAAAATCTGACAAATAAAGCATGTGTTGTGATATGGCCATACAAAATTCCCTCCTACATATTTATGTGGGATATGACAATGCAAGTACAAAAAGTGTGCAGTCACATTTAATCATTTGCTCTCTGCCCAACTCACCCTGCAAATAATCTGCAGATGACCATTCATTGCATGTTTTGTCAGTATAAATGTTCTGTTTTACATCTTTTTCTGTTTTACATCTTTTTTTGTTTAAGCTATTGTGTATCCGTTTATCACAAAATAAATAAATAAATCAGAAAATGAAAACTTCACAGTCACAATTTTCTTGAATTTCTTAACTATGTCTTTTCAACTGGTTGGAAAAAGCTATTCATTTATTTTGAAAAATCCAATTTGAATATATTTTTGTTTATATGGATCAGAAATTATTTCCTTAACATTTTGTTTGGGAAATATTATCTTGGTTAAATAGTATGATATATAAACTATCTATAATAGATTGGGATAAGATAACTCTGTATTAGATAAAATGAAATACTATTAATATCAAACTTATAAAGGAAAATCAGTAACTGAATATGTTGCATAAAACATATATAAAGTAGAATAGACAATACCTTTTTCAGCAACAGATAGATTAGGATCACTGCAGGGTTTGCATGGTCCAATTACCTGCTGGAATAAGGCTCTCTGGAAATTTGGATGCTAGGAAAGATAAAATGCAATTCAAGACTATTGAAACAAATATTGCACATTACAAATACAGAATCTTAGAATTAATTAATCAAATATCCCTTTTACAATGAAAGCTCTCATTCAGGTTCTTACCATGTAACATGTTTTTAGTTATAAACTGGATTTGCATGTCATGGTCAAGTCTCAAATGGTTGAATAACAAATGCATTATCTTAGAAATTCCTGTGGTGACAGCACAAAAAGCCTGTGACTAAAGTCTTGAAGATTAATCCTAATAATTCTAGTGATCCCCTGGCCGTATCACATCATATCAATTTATGCATTAAGGTTGAAGCTGAACCCAAGCAAGATAGAGGTATATTTTTTTCAGTGAGATTCTCTGCCAACTCTGGTATTTTATCTCAAAGAAATGATACTGCCCCCATGGGAGCAGTTTCATGATTTGAGATCTTCCTTAATTTCTAGCTTCAACTGGATGGGCAGGTGGAGGCTATGGTGATGTGGACCTTTCCCAAACATTGGTTGGTGTACCAGCAGTAGTTCTTCCTGGAGAGAGAAGACTTTGTGACAGACACTCACTTGTGCTGTGATTGCAAGCCAATTAGAATGTATTCTACATGGGACTGCCTTTAAAGATTCTGGGAAAACCAGTTGGTTCAATATGCAGCACCCATGTAGTAACTAGCACTTGGTGTCATGTGCACAAATTCATATTGTGTGCTTATTGTACCTGGATTGTGAAGCTCTGCTCACAATATATAATATATAATAGTATAATATATAATATAATATATAATACAGTGTTTCTCACAAAATAAGGCTGGGCCCCGAAAAAACAGCTAGGCCGTCTTTTCGGGGGTGACTTAATTCGCCCCCTTGCATCCTCATCTACAGCTCCTAACAGGTGATCATGGCGAAGTGCAGGGAGCTCCCTACTCCCACCAAACACCTTTGCTGCAGACCCAAGACCTTTGGCACCCTCTGTTGTTGCTTTCCCTTTTGCCCATTCTACCGCCACGTTTGGAGCTGCCGCTTCCGTGTTTGGAGCGCCACTGCCATTTGGAGTGCTGCTGCCATTTGGAGTGCTGCTGCCATTTGGAGCACCGCTGCCACGTTTGGAGCTGCCGCTTCCGTGTTTGGAATGCCGCCGCCATTTGGAGTGCCGCCGCCACATTTGGAGCTGCCACTTCCGTGTTTCGAGCTGCTGCCATGTTTGGAGTGGCAGCGGCGCTCCAAATGGCGGCGGCGCTCCAAACAGCGGCAGTGCTCCAAACGCGGAAGTGGCAGCTCCAAACGCGGCGGCAGCTCCAAATGTGGACATCGCAACTCCAAACAGCGGCAATGCTCCAAACAGCGGTGGGGTTCCAAACGCGGAAGTGGCAGCTCCAAACGCTGCGGCAGCTCCAAACAGCAGCAGTGCTCCAAACAGCGGCAGCACTCCAAACGTGGAAGGGGCAGCTCCAAACACAGAGGCAGCTCCAAATGCAGAAGCGGCAGCTCCAAATGGCAGCGGTGCTCCGCACAGCAGTGGTGCTCCAAACGTGGAAGTGGCAGCTCCAAACGTGGCGGCGGCATGGGCAGAAGGGAAATCAACAGCGGCAGGCGCTGAAGGGGGAAGGGCGGGGGGACTTGCCGTTAGGAGCGCCCCGCGGGCAGCAATTCCTCACCACCAGCTGCTCCTAATGGGTGATCATGGCAGAGCGCGGAGAGCTCCCTACTCCTACCAAGCACCTTTGCGGCAGACCCAAGACCTTCAGCGACTACCATGTTTACTGATCAGATCATGAAATCCATAGAGAAGGTGGTGTTGCTATCTTCTATAAAAAGTCCCTACATCTAAAAAACATCCCAGTTACCCAGGAGCTTGCTATTCCTGAGACCATCGTCTGTGAACTGTCCTTAAATGTCACATTTCGGTTCTTACTATGTTACAGAGCCCCTGATTATGACATCGAACATGCAAACAAGCTAAATACACTACTAACATGGGCAGCATCCTGCCCACATGCTTTTATCTTTCTTGATGACTTCAATCTACCTCATATTAACTGGACCCTTAACGAATGTAAAACTGAACCCACACATGCAACCTTCTACAATGCAGTAACAAATCTGGGACTAGAACAACTAATAATCAACAACACCAGACTTAACAACTGCCTTGATCTCATCTTCTGCAATAGTTTGAATTCAATTTATGGAATACAAATTAAAGAACCCTTTTCCAACAGTGACCACAACATGATTGACTTTTGTCTCAACATACATCCACACAAAAATCATCACAACGACGGAATCCCCAATTATAACTTCAAAAAAGGCAACTATGATCTTATAAACAACGATCTCTCATCCCTTGATTGGCAATTTCTATTAACTGGATGCAATACTGTAGAAGACCATTACAACATATTTTTTACTTGAAGTCAAAAGAGTCATCAAACTATATGTACCATTAACAACTCCCAAAACCAGAAAAAACAAATTACCCATAACAATAAGGAAGCTTCAATCCAAAAAGAAATCACTTTGGCAAAAAAAACCATATCTAGTCACATTGCCAACTTTAAAAGCCGATACAAAAATTTATGTCACCAGATAAAAACTGAATGCACCAATTATCACATTAAACAAGAAGAAAACCTTCTATGCACCAATTCCACCCGCGCTTTCTATAATTTTGTAAACAACAGACTAAAAGACTCAAGGTCCATCCCACCCCTGAAAAGACCTGATGGTAAAGACTGCAATGATGACACTATTAAAGCCAACCTCTTTAACACAATCTTTGGCTCAGCATTTGTAAACAGCAATGGATCATGCCCAGTATTTCCTTATCGAACCACAGACAACCACAATGATCTAACACATATCGATTTTATAGAAGACAACGTTGAAAAAGCACTATGCAATCTAAAACCATATCTATCTGGACGGAATATGTGCCTACTTCTTAAAAAAGCTATCCACTGCGATAGCCGAACCTCTAAGCATAATCTTCAAAAAATCTTTCAGGACCAGCTCCTTGCCAAAACTATGGTCACAAGCCAAGGTCATCCCCATCTTCAAAAAGGGAGATCCCAGCCTAGTTGAAAATTACAGACCAATTTCTTTATACTTCATCACCTGTAAAGTCATGGAATCAATTATTAACCAATCCATCATCCTCCACTTAGAAACAAACAACCTACTCTCTAATAAACAATTTGGTTTCAGAAAAAAACTTGTAATCTGCAACTCTTACACTGCAAAAACATATGGACTACACAACTCGATCAGGGAAAAGCAATAGACACAATCTACATAGACTTCTGTAAAGCCTTTGTTTCAGTGGTACACGACAAACTACTCCTAAAACTAAAATCTTATGGTATCTCTGGACAACTGCATAACTGGATAGAAGCATTCCTGTCAAACAGACAACAAATGGTCAAAATTGGGAGCGTCCTATCAAATTCTGTACCTGTCAACAGTGGTGTCCCCCAGGGCAGTGTTCTAGGACCAATTCTTTTCATACTCTACATAAATGACCTCTGTGATCATATCAAGAGGCAACTGCATTCTCTTCACTGACAATGTAAAGCTATTCAACATCCAGACAATACTGCTACCCTTCAAAAAGACCTTGAACATAGAATGGTCAAACAAATGGCAACTTCAAATCTCAACAAATAAGTGCTCTGTCCTACATATTGGCAAAAAAAAATCAGAAAATAAAATACAGGCTGAATAGTCAAGAACTTGTTAATGATCCAAACTCTGTCAAGGATCTTGGAGTACTCATTTCTAATGACCTAAGTGCTAGAGCCCATTGTAACTACATAGCCAAAAAGATGTTAAGAGTTGTTAACCTTATCTTACGTAGCTTTTTCTCTGGTAATATTACACTCATAACTAGAGCATACAAAACATTTGCTAGACCAATACTCGAATACAGCTCATCAGTCTGGAACCAGCATTACGTATCTGATATTAACACAGTTGAGAAAGTCCAGAAATATTTCACAAGAAGAGTTCTCCACTCCTCTACTCGTTGCAGAATACCTTATGCCACCAGACTCGAAATTCTAGACCTAGAAAACCTACAACTGTGCCGCCTTTGGTCCGATCTAACTATAGTATATAATGTCCTACCTGTCAATGAATACTTCAGCTTCAACCATAACAACACAAGAGCAAACAATAGATACAAACTCAAGGTTAATCGCACCAAACTTGATTGCAGGAAATACGACTTCAGCAACAGAGTGGTCAATGTCTGGAATACTCTACCTGACTCTGTGGTTTCTTCCCCAAACCCCAAAAACTTTAACCTTAGACTGTCTACTATTGATGTCACCCCTTTCCTAAGAGGTCTTTAGGGGGCGTGCATAAGCGCACCAACATGTCTATTGTCCCTGTTGTATTGTTTCTTTTATTTTTTTATTTTTCTTATATGTAGCCATGTATTCATAACTATGTTTTTACTTATATCTATTATCTTGTAAGCAATTGACAAATAAATAAGCAAGCAAGCAAGCAAACAAACAAACAATTATTCATGTCCTGCTCATTTCCCGAATGGACTACTGTGACATGCTCTAAATAGGGCTGCTCCTGAAAAGTATCTGGAAGCTTCAGTTGGTGCAAAATAGTAGTACGGCAGTTATGGATGTCCCAAGAAGGAGATACATTATACTTCTTTTCATGAGCTGCCTTGGTTGCCAGTTTACTTCTGGGTATAATTCAAAGTAACATTTTTGACCTTTAAAGCTCTATATGACATGGGGCCAGGTTATCTGAGGGACCAAGTCTCCCCAGTTACTTCTATTTTCTACCCATCAGGTCCATTAAGAGGCATTGAATGAGACCTAGGAATTGAGGCCTTTCTACTGTGGCACTTATCTTCTGGAACATCATATCTCGCCAATACTTTACAACCTTTTGGAAAGCCCATAAAATGTAGTTTTTTCATCAAGCCTGGGAAACCCCTTGGCAGTAGTGTTAGTTGAACCATGTATAACACCTTAATTAACCCTATTGAAATCTTGTTTGTACTTATGTTAGTTATTTAATGATTTCAAATGGATTTTATGTTTGACTTTAATAGTTTTATTTTACATTACCCAAATCATTTTGTATGAGATGGATAGTCATATTAATTTGATAAATAAATTACACCTTACTGTAGGCCCTGAATTAGTAGCCAAAGATTTTCCAGGAGTAGTTTAAAGCAATGGTGTTAACTCATTAACCCTATATGTCTTGACGCATATAAGCACAGCCTATTTCAACATCAGTATGCATGTGATGGTATAATACATTTATACTTAACTTAAAAGCAGTAAGAGTCAATATACTTTTGCTGATACATAACAGAATGTAGAATTTTTAAATCCTCAAATTATTCAATTATTTCTGAGGCATTTGGGGCTTTTTTGCAAAAGTCTGTCTGTTTTCTTACAAATAAGAAACCATGTAATATGTTTCTTTTATCAGCATTCACTAGATATATGATTTAGGAAGGAGGATCTCTCTTTCTAAACTATTGATGTAGTTTTAGTAAGATGCTGAATAAAAGAAAACAGCTGGTGGTCTTGTTGAAGACAGACAGTAGGGTGCAAGAGTAATTATGACATGAAGAAACAGAGAGAACAGCAAGCATATCCCTTTTTGGAGATGAAAGCACTCTCATTTCTAGCAGAAAAGGAACCTTCGTTTTCCTCCAGACATATATTTCTCTAGAATCTGCATTTCCCTCCCCTACAATCCCAGAGTCAAGTATCACAGTGCCTTGCAAGGAAGACTTCCCCTTCTCCCAGGATGACCTGAAGAGTGGCTCTGCTTCTCTTTCAAATGACATGGCAAGAATAAGGAAGGGGTGAGAGGACAGCTTGTTGATTCCTCTCCCACTTTTACTGACCAGGTCAGAGTTGTGACTGTGGCAAGGATGGCAGAGATGGACCTGCCAAAAACACTTCTAATAGTATGGAAGAGTGAAACAAGTGACTGTTTTTTTACACAGTCCCAAGACTGGCTTCTAGTAAAATATATATTAAACATCTGGAAAGTAGCTAATTTCCTGCAGGTTATTTTAAAAACAACTCCCTCCCCAAATATAGGAAAAGTTCTTTAAGATAATTGTGTCACAGCTGGTAAAATCTAATTTAACTCACAAAGGTATACACACACACACTTTACCTGTCCATTTTCCATGATAGCTGCAGGATACATAGCACTGCTAGGCCGATCTCGGTGTGCTGGTAGTAGCATCATTAATTCTCGATGATGGCGGTATTTATCTGGTAGAGAGGGAGAGCCTGTAAACGAGTTAGAACAATCACGTACACATGACAAAACATAAAAGGTTCTCTTTCATCCAGTTATTTCATCTTCCTGAAACATATAACTCACAAATGTTCCAAATATAATACAAAAAAATTCCAAATATAAGATGGTGATGAGAGAATGACTAATTAGATCGATCCATGTGAGGTGATGAGGAATCTTCTGGCGAACAAAGATGACATTTAAACATTGGCAGAAAATGACCAACTGAATGAAACCACATCAGACAAAGATATAAGAGTGGAATTTTTAGAGGAATTTGGAAGCTATTTAATAAATATAATATATCCTACATCACAAAATGGCAAAGAATTATGCTATCATTTTTCATTAGGTTATCAAAGAGGGTTTTGGTGAATTAAAGGACCACCAGGTTAGAGCAGCCAGGTTAGTAAGTCAATAAAGGAATTCTATAACTCCATTTTTACTGAAATAAAAATCTTTCTGGTATATCTGCTATCATTAGCCTCAATGGCAGCATGACTACGTGCTTGGGAAACTAGATGTACCAGATACTTGTGCACTTGGTTGGCCACTCTGCGAACAGATAGCTGATTGAGATGGGCCAAAGTTCCAATCCAGCAGAGCACTGCTTCTGTTATTAGTTGCCTTTCTACATTTATGTCATTTCATTTTCAAAAATATGAATATATATGACTGAATAGGAAGGAGTACTACATTTTCAGCTTTGACAAATATTTTATACATCTCAGTCAACCAATATAAAGTTAAGGCTATAAACTCAAAAGAAATTTATTTTTCAAAAAACGATTAAGCAGTTAAAAAAATAATATGAAACTATTTAAACACTGGATTATAGCCAATTCTATCTTTCAACTGGCAGAACGGCACCTACCAGCAGAGAAGCCCAATAGCTATGGGCTTTATCGATTTGCATATTCTCAAAACTATTCCAGAGGGCTGCCAACATATGAAAGCACTGTAAGAGGCTAGATTGTTCATTAGATTTTCCACTTTAATAGAAGTTTGTTGGAAAATTGCAGTTTTTCTACTATTCAAAATATATAGCTTTCCAAAACTTAAAATCTGGGGGAAATTGTTACATTCTCCAAAATAATTTAATGGTTAAATTGTCTTGAATTTTTTAGATATTTATATTGTCTCTAATTTATGTTTAGGTTTATACCAACAAGGATAAAGAAAATGAACTGAACAGGTACACTTGCTACAAGGGTTGTTACTGCCACTAGATAAATTTTCCAGAACTATGAATGTTGGAGCCCTTCCAACAGACTTGTTTAAAGCAACTTGGTTTTCACATCAACAGAAACATAGCATGCAGATTGTAGTAATAAAGTAATGAGTAATACAGTGAAAAGTTGCAGGTTTTTTTCATGTTCATTTATACACAACAAATACTTAACAAAGCACACATATAACACAGATGTTCTAAAACCCTCAACCACTCATAATATTAACTTAAGTAAATATATTTTGCTCCTCCTACTCATATGTACATCAGAGATAATGTTGATGCATATATGAATAAAATACTGAATTTTCTGGAACATCAAAATTGTATAATGGCACACTGAATGTCAGATTCCTCCTCTTTATCAAATAGCTCACATATAGTTTCCTAATTGCAGGTATAGATATGTATCATACATTTGAGAAAGCACATGGGTCTAAGCAGGGGTGGGATATGATAGGGTTAACTACCAGTTCGGGATTTACGAGCTTCCCTGCAGGCTGCGAGCTGCACGCCAAAGCCAAGAAGCAGCCTTTGAAACAGCCCTCTTTTCTTGTTTTTTTAACTGCAGCTGTGCCTGGTTCGGCAGCTGAACTTGAAAACTCAGGAAATAAAGATCAGGAAAGAGCCCGGGTGGGTGGGTGGGCAAAAACATCAGCAGACATAGAACCGGTTCTATGTCTACTGCTCTTCAGAGCTACCGGTTCTACAGAGGTGAACAGAACCGGTAGAAACCGACCCCTGGGTCTAAGACAGTTACTGCCTTGACCTAATCTGGAAAATGTAGTTGTGCTGCTTTTGGTATCGGAATTGGTAATTAGTGGAATCCTCGCACCTGAAATATTTATTTATTTACTATAGTATCCTTCTTAAATAGGGATGGAAAAGTTTGAAACTATTTGTAGACTCATTATGTAAAGGGGAGGAGAATTTATCAATTTTGCTTATTTTTTTTCTCAGCAACCAGCAAGGGTGGATTCTATCTGTTTAATGTTAAATTTATTTGATATTTCCCCCCCACACTTTTTTTGTACACATTTTACAATTTTTCTTTTTGTTGTCAGTATCTTTGACTCTGTCAATTGTGTAATTCCTCTATTGGAATACCTAAATTAGCCAGGAACCAGTTTTCTCATCAATTAATACCAATATTTACTACAAAAATAACACCTGATCTTTATAACAGATGTCCTTGGTAAAGATGTTATATAGAAAAAAATAATCTATAATTAATAATCTTTTTGTGGTACAATAAAATTGGCAACTGGAAATGGGATATCTGGGTAATTTTGTTAATGATGCTGCACTAGCATCTGGAAGAAGTGCTCTTAGCCTTAAGGAGGCTAAGACTGCTAAGCAAATGATGAGATTTGCTACCATATATAATTATAATATTTTCTTCTTGAAGTTTTGAATTTATTTAGTTCAATCTGATTTAATTAAACTCCCAGGGCTTATCTACAATCGGTGTGGTTTGATTGTCAATATCTCTGAGGGAGGCAAGTGGTTAAAAAATGTCAAAAATAAATAAATATTTGTTATTTTTAATTAAATTTGTTTTTGCATATCCTGTCACTTTTGGGATCCCCCCTTCCAACAAAATATAAAAATTATTCTTAGTACTGTGCCATTGGAGTTTTGTTAGGTATTATGAATATATTAACATATAATCTTGCACATAGGATTGCATGAATACATAATACATTCATATTGCATTAAAGGTTGGAATGGTATGTACTACATATATTGGAAGACAACTGATGGCCAAAAATATAGCATAAATCTGATCTACAGTTGACATTTGAAAAATAATAAATGATTATGAGAACATGAAATACCTCTACGGCACTAATAGTCTCTCATCGACAGTCACGTACACAGAACTTGGCCATTCATTGCATTTAATATACACATAATCATTACATACAGAAATAAGTAAGTGTGGGGGGGGAGGGGGAGAGAGAGAGAGAGAGAGAGAGAAACTATATGTAAATCTTTAAAAAATATAAAACTGTATTACAATGTGCCTTCTACATGCAAATATGGTAAGACAGGAATTGCCATTACTACAGTCCATCCACAATTCTGCAAACTAAATAATCCTCAAACAGCTTCAGTAGAAGTAATATGTAATTCAGCCAATTCAGATACAACCAATTTAAAGTGTTTAATTTCACTAGATCAATGCACAGCAACATCTGATTGAATGACTTTGCTGACAGGAGAAAGAAATATGCATCTTTTCAACCAACTCTAATACCAATAAAATCATTACTTTTATTCAGGTGTATGTATGTCACATACATTTATCATTTTGGGAGGTCATAGTTCCCCAACGTTTGAGAACCATCAATTTATAAACTAAGCTATTTCCTTCCTTCCTTAAAATTATGAGTGAGATATTAAAGTAAGTTAGAGCACAAGAAAAAGAGGCAGTTTTCATCTACTGAAGAAGAATTCTATAATGTTCAACTTCATGACTAAAGAGAGAGACCTTTATGATTAAAGTGAGAGAAGAGAGAAAAAGAGACACTTTTAACTTCTTTTTTGGCATAGTCTATACTTAGAATCCAGGAAAAAGTTCCTTATTAAATGAATTTTTAATTGTTCATTTTACTATTTATACTTTAAAACAAACCTTTCTACAATGAAAGTTAAATATGTTAAGCTTTACAATGATAGAAACAATCTCCATTTTATTTCTGTAATCATTATGGGTGTCATGATTTTAAAATAGTAAATTGTATATGGACATATTGAAAAACTGTCGTTTGTTTCTATAGAAAAAGAGTAATGCATCAAAGCATGGTCTCATATTGGTGCTCTCTCATTCCCTAAAAGAAATAATCCAAAATCCAAAGTTTCATAGCTTTTTCCTAAAGACATAGACATAATATAAAAATAAATATAATAAAAAGTGCCTGAGTAGATCTGATCCAGTAGATCTGAGTAGATCTGGTTTTATTTCAACCAGTTCTCAATCACATTGTCCCTATGGATTCAGAAATGTAAACTAAGGAATGATTAATCTATTCCCCTTTATCATAGTTATATTTTTTAAAAGTTAAGAATGAACTATAACTACAGCGTTTTTCCAAAAGTATCTCTCAATTCATGAAATGACCAGATTGCTCCCACTGTAAATGCAGCAAGGCGCCATCTCGAAAATATATTAACTACATTTAAAGATTGCTTTCAAACAGGATTAATATATTTTTGCCTGAAATGTTCCTATTCTAACTTCAGGTGAAATCTGATATATAAAATATGAGGCAATGGCAATCAGTGCTTCTTTAACATTGGTCCACAGGAAAAATCTTTACAGAGGGAAACTGGTCTCCTTTTCACAGTTCATTAAAATTTATGGAATAAATACAACAGTTAGTGCGGCCATGATCTTATTAACAATAAATATGGGCACCCTATTATGTAGCATGTAAAGGAGTAAGCACTTCAGTTTTTTGTATTTAGATTTATGAAACAAATATATGAAAGTTTATTTAATATGACTGATATTACAGTTACGAATTACAGATATTGTTGTGGTTCACCGGCAGCAGGTTCAGATGGCTGAGGTCTCAGAGAGCGAGGACTCAGATGAAGGGCCTGCATGTGATGCAGGGATGGGGCCAGGACCATCAGGGAGTGGAATGCTGCCTTTGGAGATTGTGGAGGCTGGCAGCAGTGATGAAGAGGCCCTCGAGGACCTGTGCCCAGTGCACGTGCACGCAGGGCTGATTGAAGGAAAGAGCAACTGCAGCAGCACGGACGTTACAGGAATAAAGCTGCAAGGTAGTGGCCCCTCCCTTAAGAGATAAAAGCCAGCTGAGAAACAGTTGTTCTTTGCAGGAAGCAAAGGCATTTTTGCACTCAAGCCTTGTGGATATTCGGAATATCTTGGTTGGTGTTTGGAGACTCTTTGTGTTTGAAATATTTCTTAGTAACTTTATCTAGTGTTCTTGGGAGCCATGCACAACATTGGCAAGGCTCATTCTTATCAGAGACAATTAGTTTGAAACAGCCTTTTAACTGTGAAGGAACGGAATTCGTAAAGAATCATTAAAAGGTTTTGCTGTTACCTCTGTTTCGTGTTTGTTCCTTGGAACAAGGTTTGGATCAGAACAGATGTATGCTAGAAATTTTATCTCAGTACTATCATTCAAAAGTAACTAGTGCTTGTAGAATCCTTATGGAAGTTTTACCGGTGCTCTAAGTTCAATTCTGAAGGAAGGGTATGCACTAGATGAAACTCATAACTAACATTTGTGGAAAAAAAGATCATATGACTTCTTATACCATTAATAAATAGCATTTTGAGTTATACTTTAGAATGCAGATAAATCAATCTGTGAAGCAAAGCTTCTTAAAGTTGCTTTATGAATCATGTTTTACTACTCTAAGAACAGAATATAACTGTAGAAAGTACAGGATCCTTTCTATTTCAGTGGAATGAATTTAAAATATTCCAGCATTTTGCTAAATGCTTTCAATTTACTTTCAATAGTACTTTGGAGTTTTTTGTAAACTGAAAATGAAACCGCATGACATATTATTTTTATTCACTAATATTTACTTCATGAGATAGAATAATATGTCAGGAAGTGTTAATAATTTCATGTCATGTTGGCTTATGAAAGGGCCAATCAAAGTACTCAATATTCTGCTGAAAATTAAGACATTGTTGGAAAAGTTAGTGACTGACATATCATATAGGCCAAAGTAATTCTTGATATCTCCATTCAGTAAGTCAAGGCTCAGTAACAATTTCTGAAATCATGGTGAAATTTCCTGACACTGAATAGATATAGTGAAAGCTGTTGATGAATGTGGCACATTTTCTGACTGAAGGGGATATGCTACCACAAGCTAGTGATCTTAACAGAAAGGCCAAGGACTGAAAGAGCCATGGAGACCAATCTCTCTTCTCACCTCTAGAGGTGGTCCCTCCAGGACAGAGATGAGGCACATTGGTGGGGGCAGTGTGGGAAAGCTTGCACTGCTGCCGCCCAGGCTGTATCTGTTCTGTGGATAAATAGAGGGCTTCAGCCTCCAGAGTTGTCAATCCAGCACCCTTCAGCACTAAATTAAAAAGAATATAAATAAATATAAAAGAATTGAGGTAGATTGACAAAGCTAGGCATTTGAAACATGGACTGACCTTGCTTTAGTGCCAGTGCTTATTTGACGTATAAAATCATTAAAATTATAAAGCACAAATGAATGAACGAGACTCTTGTTATTTTTGCACCATGAGCAATATGGTTTGCTAAACAATATCATCCTTCATGGTGCTTTCATAAAAACACATTATTAATTAGTATTTTGAAGCATCAAAATGAATTTAATTTTTCAGTATTGCTACTTTATAGAACTTCAAATTGTTTATCAGTTACTCTGGGGACACTGTTTAAAAATAAATGATAACATTTCAGTATATGTCATAAACATATATTGAAATACATAAACATGAAGCTAAAGGAATCAAGTGTTATTATTTTGTTTGCTTTTTAATACTTTTTGAGGGAAATGCTGATTTATTTATTAGCTCTCCACTAAACTATTATCTGGTCTCTGTAAACCAGTAGGAAAATGTTTTGAGAAATCCAGCAGACACACATCCAGTATGACAATGTTACCAGCAATTATAATATTGTTCCACAAAATGCATACTTCTAGATTGATACAATTAGTTTACAAGTGTGATCCTGAAATAATGCAGTCACACATTTATTTATCCCCATTCTTATATTATCTTACACGTTAAATATTTTCCAATCCATTTAGATGTAATGTTCAGCCCAATAAAGAAGAAATTGTTATATCTGGTACACGATGAAAAGAAAAGAAAATTATTTTTAATGGCATGGTTTGTCAATAAAGTCCCTCTGGAAAATAAAAAGCAATTACTATTTTTAAAAAGTGGAGATTGGTACTAAGAAGTGATGCAAAAACAAAAGAATGATTACTTTCTGATTATATATCATACAATTTACATATTACATAATAATATTACAAATAATATTATCTCAGTGCAAGAAATTCATGTTTACCTCCCTCAGTTAATGTATACAAACTATTTACTTCCCCTATATTTAGAAGACTTGTCTTTTTTGACACTTTACTTAATGGTAAACATCAAAAGGGGTATACTGTAGACCAGGGGCTACAAACTTTTTAGGACAGGTGGAAACTGTTTGAAAATTTGAAAATTTTGAGACCATGCTGTAGATCCATGGTCCCCAACCTTTATGGCTTTGTGGACTAGCAGAATCAGTGGTGGCAGGTATGGGGTACAGTTCTGCGTGAGTGGCAGGTGTGTGCAGCTCACGCAAACGGAGCTTTACACACTTGTCCGCTGCTCGCACAAGCAGAGCTGTATGCACTTGTGTGTTCGCCCACCACTTGCGTGGCCCAGTTCTGAATGGATCATGGCCCAGGTCCAGGTCGCAGCCTGGATGTGTGGACCCCTTTGTAGATAGACTTGCAAAATAATTTCTGGGAATGGAAAGCTTCTGAAAAATGGCTACCATTGGAAATATAACTACAAAGTAGCATTTTATCAGAAATCTATATTAACATCTCTCACAGGAGGCTCCCTATTACCCATACATATATTTTGCTCCTTTTTTCTGTGAACATTTGCAAAGAAAACTCTCAGTTAAAACCCCCAGATATATTTATATTTGAAGAAAGTATAAGTGTTCTAGGAACCCTGGAATATAAAGATGATTTTGGAGTCATTTCATTTTGTAGCATTACATTATCTAATGTTTTATATTAAAGATTATTCTCACGGTAAGTCAGGTAGAACACAGACCATATTGAATGCCAAGGGAGATCATATTGGGCATGTTAGTACTGTGGGGTACCAGGTTAGGAACCCAAGTATGAGCATTTTCAGAATAGGATTTCTGTTTGTTTACTGAGTTTCTATACCAACTACAGTGTTTCAATGGCACTGAAAAAAAAGTGACTTATGACCAGTTTCCATGTTTACAACCATTGCAGCATCTCCATGGTCACATGATCAAAATCTGGACACTTGACATGTGGCATGCATTTATGATAGTTGAGCTGTCCCGAAGTCATGTGATAAGCATTTGTAACCTTCCCAGCCAGCTTCCAACAAACAAAGACAATGGGGGAAGACAGATTCACTTAACGTCCATGTGATTCACTTAACAATTATGGCAAAAAGGTCATAAAATGGGGCAAAGCTCACTTAACAACTGCCTTGTTCTAAGTCAAGAATTATCTGTAATCTCTTTTTGTACAATGAGTATTTCTGCAATTTTTTCTTTTCCAAGTATATCAATTATTGGAGATGTCTTTCTTTCTTTCTTTCTTTCTTTCTTTCTTTCTTTCTTTCTTTCTTATTCTTTGAAGGTTTATCCACAACACAATAGTGAGAAGAGTTTATATCTCAAATCTCCTCTCTAATTGCTTTTGATTGAGTAGAATTAACTGCAATGCTGATAAAAGATAGTCCAATCAGTCTGGGGTTATCTCAGACATACTTCCAATTTTATTTCTATACTTCAGAATAATAGAATAACAGAGCTGGAAGGGACCTTGGAGATACTGTAGTCCAACACCCGCCCTGCTCAAACAATAAACCCTATAGCATTTCAGACAAATGGTTGTTCAATATCTTCTTTAAAGCTTCTTGTGTTGGAGCACCTACAGCTTCTGGAGGCAAAACAGTGATCTGATGTCAGAAATATATGACATTGAAATCTCTTGGATGCCCCCTTGCTCTGTTCTAAGAGCAGAACACCAAAATATCCTATAGTGTCCATAAAAACTAGGCAGAATATGGTAGTGCAGTCTAAAGTCACTTTCTATGAGATGGGCTGTTATATAAATGTAATAAATTTTAAAAAGCAATTATCTCAGCCATTTCTAGGACTTTGCATTATTTTATCTTAAATTCCCCATTCATACCTCTTGCACTAGCAGGTGCAGAGTTGATCATTTGAGATGGCGCAGAATGGGTAGAGCTCAGGCTTGAGGTGGAAGGACTGGCCTGGGAATAAAAAAAAGCAATAAGTAAGTTCAAATATTTATTATTAAGGAGTCTTTGATATATATATGACAATATTAAGAAGATGACTTAGGGAAAATAGATTATTTATTTATTTATTTAAAATAGTTATACTGCCACCCTTCTTATTTGTCAGAATCTTGGGTGGCTCACAATTTGCTTCATAGCACTTTTATCTTAATTAATAATTAATACAATTCCTACTCAATATTGCAAAATATACCCACTAGCACTTTCCACACACTGTAAAAGAAATCTACATTCTTTTAACTTTATACTTCAGGTTATTATTTGCATACTCAGGCATATAGGACAGCACTATTTGGGCCAGCATGACATGTTCAAATCTTCAAACAGACTAACCTGTTATAACCTGGTATAAGAAGTTTATCTATCTACAATTCTAGAAAAAGAAATAAAAAGGCAAAAGTTACAGCAGAAAGTAGCTTTTGGTAGCTCTGGAATATTCATTTTACCTCAGCAGGTACAGAAACCCTTGAAGGACAAATAATGGATTGTAATGTCTTTGTCATCAAGTCTGGTGCCATGAAGCCCTTAGATAGAAGTCTTTGGAGAACTGTGGCCTCGAAGAAAGATATTTTGCCGAAGGTCTCATGGGCAAGTTCATGGAATAGACAAACTGAGACTGCTCAGTTTGTAGCCCAGTCTGTTACCTACTATGTTACAGTAATAACTTTTACAAGCACGCTGTATGTACTGTATATTTTTCTGTATAATAATCATGAATTACACATATTGCTTGCAATGTCTTTCTAATATATTTGCATGATACCTGCATGTGGTACACATCCTCTGCATTTTCTCCAACAGAACTGTCTGTTAATATAACCATATTTCCTGTTTCACTTGATGTATGGGAAGAAAGGGAAGATGACGAGTGTCGGACTGTACCCAGCATATTCAATGGGCTAGAAAAATATACAAAGCTGCTATTAGCAAGTATTTTCTTAAGCTTATTTAATGAAGAAAATTTCTTACTGAAACATACTGAACTTCAAACTCTTCAAACATCTGTATATAACACAGAGACAAGCATTTTTTTATTTCTGCATGGGATTTTTTTTTAAAAAATAGCAAATTAAAAAAATATATACATTGTTCCCAATTGGAAATAGTTAAAACTTAGCAATATAAATAAATTCATCATACTACTTTCTTTTGGAATAAACATCAGAAGGTGAAGAAAAAAGTGATGAGGAATAGTGAACAAGAGGAAATCAAAGTCTAATATAAGAAAAAAGAATGGAAATACAACATCACATTCTATCCAGATACTGTCTTCTCTTTTTTTAAACTAATAATCTCTCTCTTCCAAGTTTTCATCAACTCCATCTAACCATATTTCAACTTCCTCTCAAAAATATTAATTCCTCCTTTGTACATCATTTTTGCAATTCAGTCTTCATTCATTTTATCTATATGATAAAAAAGCTGAATATTACTTTCATACTGCTTTTTTGTAATTCAAATTCATCTGACAGCACCTATTAATTTATGACTTTGTTTTTTCTGGTTTTATCACACACACGTAAGTAATCCACTTCCATTTCAATAAAAAATGTTTTTTGACACATCCAGATTTTCACTTCTGATAGAATCATGGTTTTATACACAGCCGTTTTGTGGTAGTGTTTTTGTTTTTGACATATTCATTCATTCCTGGCACCTGAGCACTGTTATTCTACTTTGCACATTTTAAAATTTCTCCGTCCATTTTCCCATCTTTAATAGATATTCTAAGGTGCACTAAATCATTTTCTTTATATTTTCATCATTAATGTTTAACTTGCAATCATTCAGGCTACATAATTATCTTCAACAACATCAATTTTCAGATATTAATAACTGTGAAAAATGATTGTTTTTATTAAATCTGGTTGCTAATCATGATCTTATCATTTTGTTATTATCTGTTAATTTCAGGTTACTACATAAATAATAAGAAATAATGAACTTTCAGACAGCAGAAACAATCTTACAGAAATTTAATCCCACAATAATGAAGTTGATTTAAAAGTCTGGCCTTTAATTTATTACAATAGTCCAAAAGTATTGCTAATGAGACTTTTTAGTTACATGTAGCAGGTATATTAATTATTCAATTTCATATGTTATTTGAAAAAGAAGATACAGAAAGACTTTTCTAATATAGAAGTGTATAAAATAATACCTGTGGCGATGCATTACTTTGATGCTCTCTGGACTCATTGGACTGTGTGATACAAGCATATTGCTGCGTGGTGTGCTTGTTCCTGAGCAGGCTGGACTCAATTTTTCCAGAGTGGGTAACTCCTGTATAGGACATTAAATGCTAGTTGTGAATGGATAAGGCAGAATATAAATATTGTTTATAAAACAGGATATAACCAATATGGCCTGTCCAACAGCTCTACATTTTTAGAAGAGAACAGAAATGAAATAAAAAGATGTAGCAGCTGAAAATAGAGTTATGGTGACAAAATAATTTCCAGAAGGTAACAGAAAGATCATCAGTAGAGACAAAAAAATATGGAAATTCTGTACCTTAGAACATCATTGATAATGTTTTGTTTAAACTGGATTATTTCTTTGCAGGGAACAACAACATGAAGATAATAATACCACAAGGACACTGAATTAACAATGTGTGTTTAGTGGAAAAGCTTTGTACCCTCTATTTATTTATTTATAAAATTTATTTGCTCCCCATCTTACAACAGAATCATTTCTCAATGCTGAATTTCAGTGAACCAAAGACAAAATGATGTATATTTAAAATAAACAAAGAGTAATTATAAACTTACGTGGTACAAACTAGATCGCATCATTTGAAATTGGTCAATTAATTTTTTATGGAGTGGACGCATCTCAGGATGTACAAACTTCTCATGTACTGCCAGACCTATTCCTAGAATATGTACCTATTAAAATTAAAATCATAACTTAATATTCAGTTTCAATGACACTACAATATGTTTTCAAGATTGCAAATTTACTAAAATATTTAAAAATTGGTGCAATTTAAATTATAATTCATGATTACTAGATATAATTTCCAGATTTGACTAGTAAGAATTGCAAATGATAACTAAACAATAATTGCTTTGCTTCCCTAGTAACTATTCTGAAACAAATCTTCTAGTAGCAATGTTAAAACTATGAAATAATAGCAACTTTAATTGGATAAATAGCAAACATTCGGATACATATGCTTGTCTGAAGCAACTATGAAACAATCTAACGTACTGGCCTTTTTTATTTGAAAAGGAAATGTGAGTTTTAGAGCATAATCTCTTTAAAAATATTTGTTCTGGAAGTGTATTCACTTCTATTTATAGTGAAGATGAAATTGGCTAATAAAAGTTAGCACACTGCATTTTTTTAGATTTTCACTGTCCCCACTTTTTTTAGCTTTCAGTTATTTTCAAATATCTGTATTTGTTTTATACATCTAGTACATTATGTTATATAGGTGGACATCAAATTCTACATTTCTACATTTTTTGTTTTGTCATTAAATTCAGTGATTGATTTAGAATATAAACAGAAACCAAATGAATATCTTCTGGTTTTCAGTATTTTATACAGTTTGAATAAGCCCATGTTACTTTGCATAACATCAAAGGAAGCAAATTTTATGATAGTATTATTTTATGTTTATTTTAAAAAGACAAGAATACCTGTTCATGCATCAGTTCTTTCAACTGTGTGATTTTTTCTGCATCTCCAGGATGAGAAGAGATATAATCCCTATCAAAAAAGGCCTGGAGAAGAAAAATAATTAGTTGTACTATGGAAATAGCCTGCTTCTTAAGAAACATTAAAAAAGAACAAAAATAATCCTTGGTACCTTTATTTTCTATACAACGAAACATGGAAAGCCTTACTTGACCCACATTCCATGATTATGACTATCCATTTTAAACATTTTTCTTCCCATTTTTTGCAACCTATATTTTCCCCATTGATTTTGTAAACATATACATCAGTGGCGAAGTAAACTTACTGTAGGACAATTTTGAGCAATTTTTAGTAGGCCATATATTTATTCTAAATTTCAATCCCCAAAATGCAAAACCCCTGCCCGCCCCGTGCATGCATGCACGACTCCCACAATCCCCATGTAAACCCCACCCATGCACCGCTGCATGCACATAACCCACCCCAGCACATGTGCACAACACCGCATCTGCACCCTACCCCTGTGCAGCAACCCCCCCCGCACCCCACTCGTGTGGCAGAGACCCGAAGACCAGCTGGCTGCCAGGAGGCACGTGTGTGCACTTGCACAGCAGGGCTGAGCTGGGGAAATGGCTCGTGTGCCCAGAGAGAGGGTTCTGCATGCCACCTTTGGCATGCATACCATAAATTCACCATCATGGGACTAGAATATGGACATAAAACTAAGCGTAGTGTTATAACTATTTATGAAAAATTGACACTATTTCTTATATAAACATTCTTATATACTGTTAAACATAACAATGAAATATAACTATATTGTGAAAAGCTGCTGAAAGTAACAATAATTAGAAAAGTCTGAATTTACCTCCTGATATCGTGCTATGCCACCATTCACAGCGGCATCAATAACTCCATTCAGGCACATACTGAGTAGATTGATGTTCCCATGCATTTGTTTGTGTTGGTACTGGCTTATTAGTGTCCTTAGTTCCTGATTTTTGTTCTCCACAACTTGAATAGCATTTTCTAATGGGCTTACTTCAACCTATAAGATATACAAGCATATATATACATTTTATTAAAAACTTTGATTACAATAGCAAAATTTAATACAAACTAAATTTAAAGAAAGGGAAGAGAAATAGTAAAATCAATGGTAAAATGGAAAATGAAAGGAAAAAAAGAGAAGAGAAAATAAGAATATAATGAAGAGAAAAATATATAAAGTAACTTCCAACCTTCATTGTAAGTATAAATAAATGTAGTGACTCTTCACTCCTTTTAAGATTATAAACTATTATCAGTTATATCCCATCCCTTATCTATAGACAAATTCATAAAACATCATCAGTCCAGGTGTCAACAGAAAGTCCAGAAGTAATAACGCATCTTGTTTTATCCTTGTTCAGATAAGATAACTTTATATTCCTTCCTTTTTCTTCTAATCGTCTTCAGTTCAGACAAACGTTGTAGGCTTTGATTTCTTATCCCTTCACATTACAGTTCTTCAAGTTTTAACAAATCATTTGCATAAATGATTTGTTAAAACAGAGGGATAGAATCAAGATCACATGAAATGTTAATACTACTTTATAATGCCTTGGTAAGGCCACACTTGTAATACTGCATTCAGTTTTGGTCACCACAATGTAGAAAAGATGCTGATACTCTAGAAAGAGTGCAGAGAAGAACAACAAAGATGATTAGGGACTGGAAGCTAAACCATATGGGTATGTCTAGTCTAATGAAAAGAAGGACTAGGGGAGACATGATAGCAGTGTTCCACTATCTTGGGGGCTACCACAAAGAAGAGGGAGTCAAACTATTCTTCAAAGCACTTAAGGCAGGACAAGAAGCATTGGGTGGAAACTAATCAAGGAGAGAAGCAACTTAGAACTAAAGAAATTTCCTGACAGTTAGAACAATTAATCAGTGGAACAACTTGCCTCCAGAAGTTGTGAATGCTCCAACACTGGAAGTTTTTAAAAAGATGTTGGATAACCATTTGTCTGAAGTGGTATAGGGTTTTCTGCCTTGGCAGAGGGTTGGACTAGAAGACCTCCAAGGTCCATTCCAACTCTGTTATTCTATTCTATTCTATTCTATTCTATTCTATTCTATTCTATTCTATTCTATTCTATTCTATT